CTTGTTTTCCCCCTAAACCAGGATTTGCCATTCCCAAACCTTGGCCGGATAAAGGAGGAGGCTGTGACGAAGAAGAAGATGTTCCAGGACCCCCAGGCAGGTGAGGAGGAAGTCACTGCCCTTTACCCCTCTCTTCTCCTCCAAGAGCAGCATGAACCCTGGCTGCAGGACAACCCCGCTGCCGACAACGTCCTGCTGGGGATGGATTGGAGCGGATTTCCTTCTTCTTCCCTCTGGTACAGAGGCGAATCCCATCCTCTCCTTGTACTTCCTGCCCAAGAAAATGAGCTGAGGTTGGAGAGCAGGGAGAACACATACCCCCTGCAGAACCTCGTGGAGGAGGCTGTTCTCAGTGTCTCCACAGCACAGGAATCCAACGAGGAGGAAAAGTCCGAGAGTTTCCACACGAGGAGGGGCAGCATGCCAAACCCAGGGTTCTCTGAGGGGGAAAGACCCACCCTGTGCCAGGAAGGCACCCCGAGCTTCAGCTGGGACTTGGAGCTGGGAGTCCTTGACGAGCTTCACAGCAGGGAGAAACCCTACAAGTGCTTGGAGTGTGGGAAGAGCTTCGGGTGGTGCACCACCCTGATCCGCCACCTGCTGATCCACACTGGAGAGAGACCCTATGAGTGTGGGGAATGTGGGAAGAAGTTTTAACAGAGCTCCCAACTCCTCAGCCATCAGCGAATTCACAGGGAGGAGAGGCCCTTCCTCTGCCCTGACTGTGGGAATGGCTTCAAGCACAACTTCACCCTCGTCAGGCACGAGCGCATCCACACTGGAGAATGGCCCTACAAGTGTGGGGAATGTGATAAGAGCTTCAGCTCAAGCTCCCACCTGATCCGCCATCAGCGCATCCACACTGGAGAAAGGCCCTATGAGTGTTCTGAGTGTGGGAAGAGGTTTCAGAGCAGCTCCAATCTCCTCCTGCACCAGCAGATTCACACGGATGAGAGGCCCTTCCGCTGCTCCGACTGTGGGAAGGGCTTCAAGCAAAACTCCCACCTCATCATCCACCAGCGCATCCACACTGGGGAGAGGCCCTACGAGTGTCCTGAGTGTGGGAGGAGTTTTCAGACCAGCTCAGTTCTCCTCAGGCACCAGCAGAGTCACAGGGATGAGAGGCCCTTCCGCTGCCCTGAATGCGGGAAGGGCTTCAAGTACAACTTTCACCTCATCAGGCACTGGTGCATCCACACTGGGGAGAGGCCCTACAAGTGTCTCCAGTGTGGGAAGAGCT